AATGACTTCATGAACTTCTTCACAAATAAAATTTTAACCATTGGAGAAAAAAATACTCATAATCGTCTCACAGATGTAACATTATCTACAACTACTTTCAGTACCATTGATATTCATTTTGAGTCTTTTTCTGCAATTGGTCCTTCTGAGTTAACTTCAGTACCTGCTTCCTCAAACCATCAACATGTCTTTTAGACCCCATTCCTACAAAACTGCTCGAAGAAGTCCTGCCATTAATTAATGCTTATCTTAAATATGATCAACGTGTCTCTAATAATCGGCTATGTACCACAGGCCTTCAAGCTGGCATTAGTTAAACCTTTACTTAAAAAGCCTTCTCTTGACCCAGCAGTCTTAGCTAATTGGTCTTAGCTTTCTTTCATCTCAAAAAATCTTGAAAGAGTAGTTGTCAAACAGCTAACAGATCATCTGCAGAGGAATGGCTTATTTGTAGAGTTTCAGTCATGTTTCAGAGCTCATCACAGCACAGAAACAGAATCTTCTTATGGCCTCCAGTGTTAGAGAGTAATGGAATACATGTACCGGCGTCACATATTTAATACAAAATCTGAGTAAAATGTATGTCGTTACAGTTACCATTTAAATAGGTGTCCCTCACCCCAACCGGTCGCGGCTGATGGCATTATTTTTGTGCCTCTGTTCTGAGGACACGTAAAGAAAATTTGCGAGATTTACGGCCCTCTGGAGAGGGGCTGTTATTGTGTCTGTATATGGATAATAGCAAACACTGAAATACATGTCTTGCATGCAACAATGAATTTTGTTTGCTCAAATTAAACTTTTCTTCGCTCAAAATAATTTTCTCCTCAAAATACAACATTTGCGCTTGCAATTTTTTATTTTACAATAGAGGCACAAAAATAACACTATAGATGGCCGCCCCTCCCTTAGCCTTGTTCTGCTGGAGGTTTCTTCCTCTTAAAAGGAGTGAGAAGGAGTTTTTCCTTCTCACTGTCGCCAAAGTGCTTGCTCATAGGGGGTCATATGATTGTTGGGTTTTTCTCTGTATGTATTATTGTAGGGTCTACCTTACAATATAAAGCGCCTTGACATGACTGCTGTTGTGATTCAGCTGTATAAATAACACTGAATTAAACTGAATTGAATTGAAGAATAATGGAGAATGCATCACTATGTGTGAAACATCAAATGATACTCAATATACTTAAACCACATACTGTTCCCACTCCATTTAAAGTTCTCATCCCACAGAAAATATGAACTACTTTCATGCACTCACCCTAAAAAATGCATCAGGATGACGTTGTCAATGATTTTTTTTGATTCAAACTGATAAATCTACGGCTGTGACCATCAACACCACAGGAAGTTCAAATATTAATGTGATCTCAGTTGGCACTTTCAGAAACCTTGACTGCCTCCCAAACACTTTATATTCAAAGCATCAACTCTCTTCTCATCTCAGTTCCACTAAACCAAACTGAACTACATCTGGTTCTAGGTACATTTTAACCATCGGTACTGTTCAGGCTGAGGATGCTGGAGATCATTACTTCCTGGGCTACAATTATGCCGGCATGTTCACAGAGTGTTTTATAGCTGTACAAAATCAACCTCCATTCTGACTAAAGGCTATAGGTGTTACGGTTAACCGTGTGGAGAGGTGAGATGAGAGGTGTGGACCCAGGCACAGACAGTAATGCAGGAGAGCGTTTCAAACTGACAATGAGCCTTCATGCGACTGTAAGAATTACCACAAAACCACTAACAAAAACCTAAACTGGGTACAGCTAAACATGAAACTAGAAACATAAAACTAAACTACCTGGAACATGGAAATGTAGCTGGAGAGACACTGGGGAAGATGAACAGGATGACCAACAGACAGAATGATACGCAGACGCTCCGACGAAAAACAGAGATAACCACGCACTAAATACACACAAAAGATAGCAAGAAAATGGCACACAGGAGGGAGACACAGCTGAACCTAATTAGACAAGACAACGGTGAGGCAGTGAGTCAGGGTAAAAGTTTTTTTATATTTGTTTGTTTTTAATTCTGTTTGTGCTGCTCATGTTTCTCTAATTTAACCTGATATATTTTCTGTTGTTTTTTTCCTCAAGATTCAAATCATTCAAGTCATTTGCCAACAATCTTCTGACTCTGTAAAGCCAAGTCTGTCTGGGACTGTGACCATTAGTGCCACAGGGAGTTGCTGGACTTAGTTAGTACCTTCAGAAACCTGGACAGCCTCCCAAACTCAGGAACTCCACCTCGACTCCGAGGCAGTAGATCTGGTTCTCAGTACACTTTATCCATCAGTGAT